CTAAGTTAAAGTTCATTTCACAAAATCAGGTTCTTATATAGAGGTGTGACTATATAGGGTGTGATTATATAGAGGTCCGACTGTATAAAATTTGATTAATTGTTTCTCTTTAATTTAATAATAAAAAATTTAATACTATTCATATATAAAGATTATTAAAGAATTTTTTTTAATAATCATATATATAAGAATTTTAAGAATATGCAAAAAATTTAAAAATAAATTATTTTATATAATTACTTATTTTTATTCCTTAAATTATCGAGGTTTACAGACAAATTTGCCTGTTATTTACTATAAGTTCCCTTCTGATTTACTTTTATGAAAAATTAAAATTTTTAAAAAATTTTTTTTTAAATTAATTTTATAAATATGTATTATATTATAGTAATTTTTATTTTTTAATTATATAATAAATAATTTACTGTTACTTATAAGCTAAAAATTTGTAATTTTTAAAAAAAATTATAAATTAAAAAATTTATCATTAACCTTTGACAATCTTATTAATATTTACTTTTAGTAATATTAATCATAATAGAATATTATAAAATTTATCATGAAGAATAACTTTAATTATTACACTTTTAAATTTATTAAGAAATTTTATGATTTTTATTAGTAATAAAGTGATTCAATTAGTTTGCAAAATATAAATTTTAAAGAATTTTTTAATTAAAAATTAAATTATTTAAAAAATATCTTATAAACTTAAAATTTTTTCTAATAAAATTAACTCAAAAAAAATTATTTTGGTAGTTTCCTCCCTTTTTATTGCAAAGAGTCCATATAGTCTCTTTGCAATAGAAAGGGAGAAAACTACCAAAAAATTTTTTTTTTACTTTATAAGCTAAATATTATTTTTTTAAACAAAATAAGTCCAGATTTAATGTTAACTCAAAAAAATTTTTTTTGGTAGTTTACCCTCTTTCTATTACAAAGAACCTATATATTAAACTATATTTTTTATATAATTATTATATTACTAAAATTAATATTTAATATGTTATTAAAAAAATAACACAATTTTTTAAGTTCACAAGTAAATTTGCTTGCTAGACAATCTAAAAGATAATATATATAATTGAAAAAAAAATATATTAATATACATGCTTTACAATTTTATAATTTACTTCATAATGCATTTACAAATTTTGATAAATTAATTGCTTTTGCTTTATTAATTATATAAAATATATATACAGACAGTTATATAATAATATTTATATAATTATATTAATTATTTAAAAATGATATAAAGTAAAATATTATACTAGTTCTATTATTAATATAATCCTTAAAATCCTATATAGAAAATTATCTATTAGTTTATTACTTTTTTAAAAATATATAACATAACTAAAAATAAATCTACTTTAACTTTATTTAAAAAATTTTCTTTTCAGTATTTTTTTACTAATACTTTTTATATTATAATATATTATAATTATTACTTTTTTACTTACTTATTCATAATACTTTAAATAAATATTTTTAAATCTTTATAATATAACTTTCAAAAAAAATTTTATTAAATATTTTTTGTTTATTTTAGGTGATCGATCTTATATAATAAAGTTTTACCTTTTATAATTATTATTTAGCTTTTATTATAATATACCTTTTAATAATTAAGATGATATATTAATTTTCATAATATTTATTGATCACCTCATTAATCACCTATATCATTCTTTATATTTTCACTTTAATCAATCTTATTACATATAGAATAAAATACTAAACAATTAAAAATAAAATTATTACTAAAATCTATATAGGATTTTAAAGATAGATAAGAAAATTGCTTTAGTATTAACTAATTATGTGTTTTATTTTTCTTTTGAATTATCAGTTAAAACAAAAAATAAAAAATAAAAATCATTAAATTTATTTATTTAAGCATAAATAATATATTTATATTATCTTGAATAATTTTTATCAAAGAATTAAAGATAGATGGTTGAATTTTACAAATATATTTATTATAATTTTGATAATTATTATGGCTTATATATTTTTTTTTTTATATTTTTATATAAATTAAAATAAATTCTATCTGTCAAAATACTTGATAAATCAGTTAATGTGGTATTTAATCCAGATATTCAGAGGTTATTATTTTATTAGACTTATTCATGTTACTATTTTATATAACTGCAAAATAATTTAATTTAGATAATAATTAATATAAATTAGTTCTAAAAAAAATATTGTGTAAGCAAATATAGTAATAAAACTATGCAGTTATCTTAACTTTACACTGCTCACACTTATAAAATAAGATCTAACTTTATATTTATCTTCTATAAATTCTCATTATTATATTTTTAACTTACATAATAAATATAATTTCTTGTTAGTAATTCTATAATAATTAAAATTTTAATTATTAAATTCTTTATATAAATTAAAATATTAATTTAATATATATTGTAAAAATAAAATTGAAAAATAAGTACAGTTAATATATTTTTCTTAATTAAAATTAAAGGATTTGCTTATATTAATGAAACCTTTTTAGATAAGCATTTATTCTGAATTTTTTTAGATTTGTAATTTCTTTGATCTTGATTTTTTGATATAAATATTCTTAATTTATTATTCTTTAAGCTCTAAATTTTTATGATTACTAATAATATAGCTATACTAATTATTAACAATTGTATTAATTGTTTTTATAGCTGATTTAAGATTTAATATTATTTTCTGAAATATAGTAAAGAACTTTATATTACTAAGCATTTTAAATGCAATATCATTTTGTACTATAGCTTAATTGATGAATGAAATTATGAATTTATTTATTACCAATTTTGTGTTATGTAAATATATTAGCTATTTATTGAATTAATCCAAAATGATGCTTTAGATCAGAACGGTTTCCATTCTTTAGTATTAATTTATGTAAACATTGTATTTAAAATGATAAGTTGTTTCAATATAATAAATCTTAAATTTGAGATTATATATATAGTTTAACTAATTATATTATATTACTAAAAATCATATTTTAAGAATTTTTTTAACTAAAATTTATTTGCATTTTAATCTAATAATATCAATAATTAAAAATGCAATAAAAAATCTTAATTTTTTATTAATAAAGAAATTTATTTTTCGATAGTTTTGAATTTGATTATTTTATTACACTATTTATTATTTTAAAAGTAATTCTTTTTTATAATATAATTCCTTTTATTATACAAAAAATTATAATAATTTATTGTAAATTTTTAATTAAATTATAATTAATATATTTAATCTTTAAAATATTTAAATTTTAAAATATTTATTTTTACGATATTTAATTATTGCAAAAAAAAAATATATAATAAATAATATCTTAGAACCTGATTTTTTTTTTTATCCTACGTGTATATATTTTTTTAAAAATCATCGTAATTAAAAAATGTCATTTCCTCTTCGTGAACTCGGCAGAACTGGTGTCAAAATACCCACGATTGGTTTGTGATGTATGGTTTGTTCACAATAAATTATACTAATGTAATAATACTTAGTCAATGGTGATAATTGTAATAATTTCATTGAAAAAAGTGCATGAGTAATTTTTATGGTGCAGGTGATGATGGATCCTAACACGTAAGGGTATAAATTCGGTTCTTTTTTATTATTATCCTTTAAGAATTACAATTCTTTCTTTGATTATAGACCTATCGAGGATACTGTCGGCTTTAGCAGAACTTGTTAAAGAAGGAAAAATTAAGTATATTGATCTTTCCGAATGCTCTGTCGAAACTCTTCGACGCGCCAAAAAGTTCATCCAATTGCCGCAGTTCAAGTAATGATTATGTTTTTAAAATAAATAATGATCTTTTTTTAACATCTATTGTTCTTTCTTTTATGAAGGTTGAATATATAGCCTTGGACTCTCGATATTGAAAAAAATGGGATTATGGAAACTTGTCGTGAATTAGGTATCATTATAGTAGCATATAGTCCACTTGGACGCGGGTTTCTAACAGTTTTTATCATCTTGATCTTGACTCTTTTTTTTTAAAAAAAACCCCCCTTACCTATTAATAATTAATCTCAAATATTTTAGGGGAGATATAAATCTTTTGATGATTTAGAACCGGGTGACATTAGAAGAACTCATCCTCAATTTCAACCTGAAAATTTTGCTAAAAACCTAGAACTTGTACATAAATTCATGAATTTGCTAAAAAGAAAATGTTACTTCAAGTCAACTTTGTCTTTCTTGGGTTCTAGCCCAGTAAATATTTTTAACATTCTAAAAAATTTTTTTTTTTGCAGCCATGATGATAATTGTTGTTATCCCCGGTACAAAGAAAGTTAAATATTTAGAAGAAAATCTTGGGGCAAATTATTGAATTATCGGTACTAGATATACAGCTAAATCTATGCAGATATGAATTATTTTATCATATATGTTGTGTTTCTTTGAATTTTAAAAACACCAATTAATCTTTTGCAATTTTCTCGGGTATTTGCAAAATACAGACGTTGGATTACTATTTTATTGATAAATGTGAATGAAATATGAGTTATCAGTTCTCTAGAATGTTATAGTATTGAAAAATTATATCATATTATTTCCACACGAAACAAGAAAATTATTTAAATAAAGTTATAATCTAATTGATGCTTATAAAAGGTTAATTAATAAAACACTTTCCATTCAATAATATCTTCTCTATTATTACTACTTACGGTCAGTCCTCATCGCTTGCCATTAATTCAGCTAATATACGTTCCTCTTCTTCGGTTAACTTTGAAGATATGGTTTCTTTTTTAGATGGAACAGATTTTTTAGCTTCAGTTTTATCAACGGATTTTTTCAAATCTTTTGCTTTAAAATTTAATGTAAAAGTTAAAATATGAAATTATGTTTAAATGTGAATTAAATATTTCTTTTACAAATACCCGCTATAGACCATTTTCTTAGAGTACAATCCAAAGAACCTGTATATAATGTAGTTCCTCTAACGGCCATACAAGACACTTCATCAAAATGACCTTCGAACTCATTGATCATTTTCCCACTCTGAATAAATGAGTTTTATGAGAAAAAAAAAATTTAGTTAAAAAATAATGGAATTTTTTTTTATACAAACCCCAATCTCAAAAATTCTAATCATCTCATCACGTGATCCGGTGATCAAATATGGCCCAGCCACCACGAGACATTTAACAACATCTGGATGTGTAAAGGTCGTATCTGGTTTACCATTCTAATCAAAATTGCGTATGCCCAACGAATATTAGGTATAAAAAGTGACGTCGCAATAACAAATCAAACTCTTGTTCGTGATAGTGAATCAAAATATAATTACTTCCAAGTCCCATCTTTTCACAGTTTTATCAGCAGACGCTGTGATACATCATCATGTTAGTGTCAAAGTAAATAAATACTTCATCACAGCAAAAGTCAGCAACATTTACCCGTCCACATTTCGTCATCAAAGATTTTCAATGAGTAAACACTCGTCAAGTGTCCTTCAAATACTTGTAAACATTCTCCTGTACTTGCATTCCATTTTCTAATATGCCGATCCGATGATGCAGAAAACAAAAATGTTTCGGTTTCATCGAAGGCAAGGTCTTCAATACCACGAGAATGTCCTTTAAACACTTGTAATTTTTCACCAGTTACAAGATTCCACGAACTAATATATTTGTCTGAAGATCCTGAACAAAGGATCGAAGAAGAATGAGAGATGGCTAATGATTTCACAAAATCAGTATGTGCAGTGAAAGTATGAATGGACTCTTTAGTCTAAATCGGATACATACAATTGATCATGAAAGATAAATTAGTAAAAGGCTTTTCACGAAAAATATGTATCCTTTTAATTTACCTTTGTATCCCATTTGACGATAGTTTTATCCCAAGATCCAGTTATAAGATACTCTTCTCCATCTTTATACCATAAGCCAATGCAAGTGACTGGTCCAGTATGTCCTTTAAAAATTTTTGAAGTCTTTCCAGTCTAAAAGAAAAGCATGTTAATATTTATTGTATATAAATAATTCGACGGGTTGAAAAAAAAAAAAAAAACTTTTACATACCGACAAGTTTATCCTTTTCGCGACAAACCCCGATTCTCCAATATATGCATATTCAGATTCTGTTTTTTCGGGTAAAAGTAAGCATAAGACTTTAGAAGTACACTCAATTGGATCACCAGCTTTATTTTCTCTTTTCTCAGCTCGACGTGCTTGAGTTGCCAAGTCACTATCAGACTGAAAAAAATTATCGGCACCAGATCCTATTCGCGGTCCAACCGGTACTTCATCGAACATCATTTTTAATAAGCGGTTTTAAGTTTGAAATGTGCGACGATAATTTATTGACGGTGTGGTAACACAAAATATTAAACCTAATTATAAGTATAGAAATTAAAATCATCACTTACAGTTTCGTTTTATCTAATGATAGTTTTTTCTCACCTTTTTAATCATGCGATTCTTCTTTTATATCAAAAGAGGCTTGCTTTTTGGCCTAAAAAAACTTTAAATGATTAATTGTTTGAATTATTAGGACGCATCTATTTTTGGATTTCATTATGGGTTAGTGTGATTAAGGGATTGTGATATTATTATTAATCCGGGAACGAAGTGAAGGACAGGTTTTTGTTACACGATTCTCCGTTGTCCCTGCTGATTGGCTCTTGCAATTGCACAAAAGCAATAGATAAAGTTCCAGACTAGTAAGATATCTTCAATTATATCCCAGAATTAGTAAAGTCACATTCTAAAATTAAATAATAATTGATGTGGCTAGGTAAACAAACATGTAAGTAATCAGGTACCAAAACTTGGCTAATAAGTTTACCTTCCATCAAAGCATTAATAAACCAGTTCAATAAAAAGAGTAATTTAGGATTGGTTTTTCGTACGTGTAACCTGGTTTCGTTATAAATTTTTTACATAACTGATGACCTAAACAAGTTGATATTCTGAAATAAAAATAAACAAGAAAGTAAAAAAGGTGTTAACCAATTAAAATTCTAATCTCAAAACGGCACTTGTAACAATGTATAGCGTCGGTTTATTTTTTTTTTTTTTTTCATATTACCAAAAAAAAATATGTCGAAATCTTTCGATGAAAAGATTGTTGGGGAAAATCACTCATTCTCACCAAAAAGGGATTATTTGTTTATCTCTTGATTGGCGTTAATTTTTCGCCCAGGCACATTTAATCAAAAAAAAAAAAGTCCCTTAGAAATTGTTTAAAGTTAAAGTTGTTGATTTTTGACATTTTTAAAAATATTTGAGGCTTAATGACGCATATTTAGTGATTCCGAGATAATTTCAATTATCAAATGGATCTGAAACAAAAACAAACCATACTAACTATATCATGTAATGTTCAAGACGTATTTGTATTTTTATTTTTATTTTCTCAGAAAGAACAAAACAATAAGAAAGATTGTAATTCGCTGCTAAATGTTTAAAAAACAAAAATGTGAGGTGTCTATAAACAGGTTCATTTTTATTATTGTAAAGTATGCATTACATAAACTTACATCATCAACCTCGATGGATGTCACCAATCGTGATAAATTAGAAGGAAGGTGTGGAAATCAAAAATTTTTTTATTAACGCCTCAAAAAAGGTTTTTAAACTTAAATTCGAGTCACATTGGTAGGTATTTAAACGAGAAGAACCACCGAAGGATACTGAGTCGTCCCCGAGTCATTCTAAACCATCGTAGTCATGGATTTGGAATTCCGCAGCATATGTTTACTTACCTTTTTCAAACGGTCATGATATTCCTTGGATAATAAAAATTTGATAATCCTTATTGTTCTCCTCCAGTTTACTATAAGAATCCATTCTCCTGGGTATGGTTTCCATAAATGATCGCTTAACAATAGGAGGCGCGTTCAATCATATTGTTGAAAGATCTTCTTGTTCGTTAGATCACGTGCGAGTTCTATTTAATTCCTTTTAAAGTATTCAAGAACTACAAAAAGTGATTCTAAAAATAACTTTATAAAATCATTCAACAAATACAAGGGATTTTTTTTTTATGAATTTCGCGTCAAATAAAGATTATGTAAGGATTTCTTTTTGTTCTTATTATAGCGGAGAAATGAAGTCTTCCTTATAATAGAGATTCACTGCGGCTGGATAGAATTACTTCATCACCCACTCCCATCTTCGATTATAATAATTTATTACCTGATATTCCTAAATAATCACCAATCCTTTTTTTAAGAAAAATTAGATTTCGTGTAGATAATATTTTAAATTCCCAGCATAACTATTTCCTTTGGAAAGACTTTGAAATATGCAAAGGGAGCTGTCATGAATATGCATAAGATGAAAGCTCTTTCATAACCTTCAAAACTTACACAAGTAACTCGCTCATTAAAGAATTTCCACGTCCCACTTTACCACCACAAACATAATTAAATAGAGAATTTCTTTATTTAGCGAAAGTAACCAAATTAAGGTTTGCTGTTTATTTAAAAAAAGAAAAAAAATTTTAGGTTCAAAATGATATGGATACCCTCAGGTTATTGTTCTTCAGTAGTTTGATTTCGTATTACCCAATAGTGACGGAAAATAATTGATCATCAAATGACGATATTCGTATGGGATACAAAAAGGATTCAAGGGATATGTTAGAGAATAAACAGGTTTTTTTTTTTTGTTTTACGTTAAAGTTTACCAATCAAGAATCAAGTTTCATTTATTAAAATGTCCATTCTTTCTTGATTTGAATGTATTTTGTATTAGAATTTCCCTCAACACTAATTATTTTTTTATTGATAAAGATTTAATGGGATCCAAAGACTTTTTTGTTGAGAGGGAGGAAAAATGTTACGAGAATAAATACAAATCTAGAAAAAGTTTGATGAAATACGATGTTACATTGATTTTCTCTAAAGTAACATACTTTAAGTTAACTCTCCCTACAAAGGGATCTTACTAAAAAGTTCGGGATTTTATTTATGCCCCATTCATAGAATATGAATAATTACAAATTGATATTACGGAGATTTCGGTGATTAGATTTTTTTATTAAAAATAATTTTGTTTTCTATATTAAGTTATATCAAAAAGTGACTAAATTTTTTTAAATTAAAATAAACATGTTTTCAGGAATCAAAACCTGGTATTTTTTTTAAAGAAAATAACTGGATTAATAATAATCTTTTTTTTTTTAAAAAAAAAAAAAAGATTTGCCATATGACAGGTCAAAAAACGCCCAAAAACAACTTGTTTTTTTTTTTTTCTTTCATTCAAAATTGGGTAAATGTCATGCGACTTTAATTTTATACAAGAAATAAAACTCGTATTTTTTATTTTTATTTTTATTTTTTTTATATATAAATAATAATTTTCAGAAGATAATCAT